AAGACCCATAGATTTATCCAATCACAACTCTCCTGTATTTATTTATTTATTGATTGATTTTTAGAAATGTAATTGGGTCCCGGTTGTTAGCCCCTTCTTTGTTCTCCTGAGTCCGGTTACAAAGCTCTCCTCTTCATCAGCAGGTGGTTTTGGCAGCGCTCCGGTGTTTGGCAGCCCCCCTTCATTCGGTGGTTCCCCGGCTTTTGGCGGCACAGCTTCGTTTGGCTCCAGTCCTGCTTTCAGCAACCCCATGGGTTCCTCTCCGGGGAAAGTGTTCGGCGAGGGAACAGCAGCCTCAAACATGGGAGGATTTGGGTGAGAAGCTTGTGATTTTTTTATTCTTATTGAAATAAATAAATAAATGCTTATTATAAAAATAAATGGAAACCCCTGCAATAAAGCACATTTGACACTGATCCCTCTGTCTTTGCATGCATAGCAACTCAACAAATGATGTTTTGTCAAACTATTGCACTGATGATATCCTTTATTGTCTGTTTATAAAGCATCTCCTCAGGCTTTAGGGTCAATGAGTTGCTTAAGCCAAGTGACTATTTTTACCATGGCATCAGTTAGTTTGAAAGCAACTTGATTTTTGATGCTACCATGCACATAAATGATGGTATCATCTGCATTAAATTGGATTGCTACACTGTTTTATAAATCTATAACTTAAGATGAATAACAGTGGTCCAAGTAGAGACCCTTGTAAGACCCCGGTAGGTGAGTGTCCAGCTGTAGATGTTTAACCCTGTTTACCTTTAAATAATAAAGATAACACTAGGTTTAATTTGACTGCATAACATGACCATGTGGTTTGACATAAAAAAGTCACCTTGCAAATTAAAAACACCCCAAAATAATACTTTGTGAACAGGTTAGATTTGAAGCAGATTATTTGTGCAGCCTTTCTCCGAGCTGTGCTGAGTCGTCATTTCCACCTCATTCGGCCAATCAAAACGTTTCATTTCAAATATCAGGAACATTGTTTATTTAATCTGGTCCTTCTCCTTCCTTGTCATTTATTTTCTAATGGTTTCATCAGTTGTTCTTCAGCATGTTGATGTGTTAGCACTGACTGCAGCGAGCTTGGCGTCCAGCCTAAAACTATGGATCTCTGCAGGAGCAGATTATTCCCCCTCACATAATCCCACTCTGGGGTCATGCTGACTGCAGATTAAACTGGCCTGTTTTCTCTACTTCTCCCCTTTTTTCAAAACACGGGTGTGGATTTTAGAAAGGGGTTTAAATTCTTAAATATTTGTTTGTCTTTCTATGTCTATAAATAACTGATTTAATGTTTTCCTGCATTTTGTCTCATCACTATATGTATGTTTCTGTTTCAGTCAGACCTTTAGTTGTAACACTCAGTCTGTGTCTGTCTCTGTTCTCAGGTTTGCCTCGACCCCCAGTGCCCCTTCCTTTGGTGCTCTAGCCAATCAGAGCGCGCCGTCGTTCGGGAGCTTGGCCCAGCAGGGCACTGGATTTGGAAGTCAGCCCAGCAGCTTCTCGAGTTTTGGCCAGCCACAGCCACAGACTGGAGGTGAGACATCTATTTCACTTACATATCTGCTTTTTTTGTTGTTGTTGTTTTTCTGTCAAATTGAGGTAAAACTTTTGTGGCTGAAATGAAAACAGTAAGTTGTCCAAACACCATTTGTGCAAATCAGTTTTGAACAGTGTTTAGCTGATGCTTCTCTTGATCTGATTTTTTTTTTTGTAGATTTTCAAATCATTTTGAATGTTTTTTTTCTTTTAAAAATGTTAATTGGACAAGAATTTGCACATTTTTTAAATAATAAATTGCTTTGAGACTTAAATTTGTCTTCTTATATATAAAACTACTTATTAAAAAAGGCTGGCATGTTAGCTTGTCCTCATTAGCCACGTCGGTGTCAATTTCCTTTCCTCTCTTTTATCACTCTGTTCAGTCTTTTTCTGCAGCATGTAGGGGTTTAGTTGTGGTGATATGCATGCAGCACACAGTACCATCCAGTTGCTCCCAGCAGACACACAATCACTTCTGTTCATTTCATTTAAAAGATCTCCATTAGGACGGTGCTTTTTTTTTGATGGATTTTTTAATGTTGCTGTAATCAAACATATATTTTCTCCTAATTTTGTAGGATTCTCTGGAAGCACCTTTGGCTCTACAAACCAGTAAGTGTTTTTCAGTCTGTCTTGTTTTATGTTTTCTTCTATGCCTTTCTGAGTAGACAGAGACTCCCTTCTGCATGTCTGCAGTGTTGTGCCTGTAGGCTTTAGAAGCTCCCATCTTCTCTTCCAGAACACTGCTCCCAATGAAACCTTCCTGATTTAATACCTCATCTAACCTCATTTATGTCCTCCTCCTTATCCTTTGTCTTTGCTTTTATCACAGTTTAGATTTGCCTCCATTATTTGGCTGAACTCATCAGTTTTGCCTCTGTACGTTATTAGATTTCCTTTTCCATCCCAATGCATTTTCTTTTTAAGCCTCTCATCCACCAGTTTCTACCTCTCCTGTCTTTGTCTCATGTTGCCCCTGCCTTCATTTGCCGGTGTCTGCGTCACGTAACGAGCTCTGGTTCGGAGGAATGTGCTCTGAAGTGCGCACGATTGTGCAAAGACCTGGTTTAGTCTGTCAGACACGTTCACACGCTGTAAATAATCCTTTATCTCTCTGTTTTGATGCTCGTGTCTCTCTGCACTCAGCATGCGCCTCTTGTTCTTCACACAGTAATCTCTGGGTACTTTCTGCTGCTGCTGCTGCAGAATAGCTGACTTTAATCTCTGCCAAATGCATAAGATAAAACTGAATGGTGACGAAAAACTTGAGAAAGTATTAAATTCTATTATTCTGTAAAATATAATTTATTTTCTTTCTTTTCTTTGTTCTGTCTTGTCATCAAAGTGATAAAGCAGCTTTAAATTTCTTTTTAATTTATAATAAAAATATTCAGGATTTAGAATTCATTGTTATGATTTATATTGTTGAAGGCATTTTGATTAAAATAACAGAATTTCTTATTTTCTATTCTTCAAAACAAAATAAAGCAGAAAGGTTGATGTGTTTATAGTGGGGATGAGCGTTTTTGCCAAAAATTCTTAAGATTATTTGATTATTCTTCTCTAAACCAGAGGAAGCAGTCTTAACATGAGCTAGTCTCAGCTGCCCCATTATTATTTAAGATAGTAGCCTGTTTCATGTTTGCCCTTAAAATGACCACGTTCACACCGTTGAGATTTATGGTGGATTAAAGTTAACTCACCAGGTTTTGCAGCTGAAAACCTCTTTAATAAAATGGGCTTCAGGTACAGAGACATGCACTGGAGTGAGTCGTATTCTGACTGAAAGTTGAGCTCACCTGTCACTATAATTTCCACTTTTTAATTCTTTCGAAATTAACTATTATGGCAAATGCTGAGATGGAATAGTTTTGATTTGTTTGTTTTTGTGGTCGAAAAAACAGGTTGTCCAGGGGTGTCGAGAAGCTTCGCGGCGCATTTAGCACGTTTAGTGCGGCGCGTTTCGAATCGATAGGTGCGGTWTGAGCGTTTGGCGTGTCCAAAGCAGCCGACTGGAATTGGAAAATATGAACTTTTGCTGCTCGATGCTGCGCGTCAAACCAATCGGAGAGACGGTGCGTTTTTGGGCGGGATGGTCTCCTGAATGATGCCCACTAACCTGAGACAGATGGACAGGAGCTCTTCAGCTGAAATCGAGTGCCTATAGTTGGTGACCTGACAGGAGATGTGGGCCACAGATGCGGTTCAATAGCTCGTCAAACTAGTTGGACGCGTTTTTGCCGCTGAAAACGCCTTCGGTGTGAACGTAGCATTACGTGTAGAACGTAACTAGATTTATATTACCCTATGCCTATTCAACTATTTAAGTTTGTTTATTCTGCCTTTTTTTTTTCCCCAGATCAAATCCACAGACATTTTCCAGCTGGAGAAGCTAGTTGTTTTATTTTATTTTTTATTATTATTACTATTTTGGAACCTCTATTAAAAAGTTAAGATGCTACAGTAAAATTTCTGTCTCTGCTACAGTCAAGCTGTTGGTGCCACACAGTGGGAGGCAGGAAACACAACTGGTTTAAACAGATAAATAAAGTAACGTGAAGATTCAGTCATGTTCTGATTCTTGACCAAACCTTTTCAGCATCTCACAATTAATTTTTGTGATGTTTGTATTTCTTTAGGACACAATAGATTTAAGTATTTTAATTTGTACACATAAAGAAAAAAATACACTGCTGTTCACTCAAATCAACTTCTGCTGTCTTTAGATATTTTAAATTTGATGAAAATAAGGAAGTTGCAAAAAACAAAAATGTATTTTTTTCAAACAATTTTTGAAGAACATTCTCTCGTTTATCTATATTTTACATGAAAAAGTTACAATAAAAGATGTCTCAAATCATTTGAAGTTTTTTTTCTTACTTTGTTTGAAGCCAACAGGAGCATGTTTTACACCTGTTATCTTTATTTTTTTCCCTGTCAGTGCAGAAAAGTTTAATTTTGTCCCTCCTGGTTTCACTTTATAAAGATCAACTGAATGACTTAAATGTGATAAAAGGATTTAAAAGGTATGTCTACTTTAAAATAATTTCTCTGAACTGCATTAAGCTCCACAGTTTGTCAGATCCTTTCAATTGAAACACTTCTTAAAAATAAAATAAGTATCTGTCATAAATATTTTCTAGTACACACCTTGACCTGATTTGTTTTTCCATGTAATCATGTTAAAGGTCATTTTACTTGCTGTATTTTTTTAACTGGACCTCGCTGATCTTTAAAGATGGGTCTTGAGGTTTAGTGTGAAGCAGCTTAAGGTGAGGTTCTGCACCTCCAAATCTGAGGCCGTGCTCCTCGGTCAGGACTGCCCTCTCCTGGTTGGGAGTGAGTTCCTGCCTCACGTGGAGGAATTTGCTTCTGTTCACGAGACAGGATGAGAAGTTCTGATATTTGGAGAGACCCAAGTAGCGCTGCTGCTCCTCCATATTAAGAGGAGCCAGTTCAGGTAGTTTGGGCATCTGGTAGGGATGTCCCACCATGTCCAACAGGTAGAAGAAGCTGGACAGCTTTTGTTTCTCAGCTGGCCTGGGAGCCTCTCCACCTTGGAGTCCTGGAAGACCTGCAAAGAGACGTCCTGGACCTTCCTGCTCCAGCTGCGACCTGACTCCGGATCAATCAGAAGATGATGGATGTTTGATGTACAAAGGTATCAGGAATGAGCACAGCTAACCAAAGACTTAGCTTCTCTAACTTATAATCCGCTAACTAGAAATATAGCTATGGTAAAGCTAAACGTAAAAATAAATAAAAGTGGCGGGAGACTAATGCTAAAACTTAAGTTAGTGGAAGCTAACCGCTAAGATGATTGACAGTCTGCAGTCCCCTTGGGACTGAAGACTTGTGGGACTGACACAAATCTGTTGTTGGTCTGTTAGCTGTTCTAAGACTAATTTGGCCAAACTTATTTATCAAAAGCTAATTGGTCCACTAATGTTTTTCAAAGCTAGTGAAAGCTAATTCGCCATGAAAAGTTTGTTTCGCTATTAGCTGTAAGCTGATAAGTGGAGCCATGCCCACCACTGGTGACTCCTTTCATTGAGAAGCTCTAAATATTTTCACACAAACCTTTCTACTTCAGGTGCACAGTCCAGCTTTTATCTAGTGCCGGGTTTATGGCTCGTAAAGTTTGATTTACGTTTGGCTTTGTTGTGATGCCATGTGTCCTGTTTGCAGGTGTGCTTCATTTACACAGACCTCAACGCTTGTCGGTGGGGGGGCACATGAGCCATGTAGCTCTTCAGTCTAATGTGTTGTGGCATGAAGAATAACGTGGCAGAAAGCCCCGGGCCTTGTTCACATGGTCCAGTAATTAATTCTAAATCCTCCTTTACATGCAGCTCCTTCCTCTGTCTTCAGTAAGCAGCACGTCCGCTCACATACAGAGCTAAAAGTCTGCTGGCACAGGGTGGGGGGACAGTTTGGGTCTGGGGCGTGACACTGTGGCATGTGGCGGCAGAATTGCAGTACTTTTCCTAGCTTGTCACCATCACTCTGTCGGCCTTGATCTCCCCCAACATGTGACCGAAGGTTGCTTGGAAGTGGACTGTCGGGGTCAAAGTGGTTGACCTGTAACAGACACCTGCTTGTGTAGTTTTCAGCAGATAAAGAAGATGAGGCTGGAGCTGGTGGCGTTTGGTATCTGCGAGGTTAGAGGACAGTCGTATTACACGTCCCCAGGTAAGGAATTGGACACACTGCAGGTTACGGAGGCACACAAGCAAGTTACAGAACCCACAGTCTGTAATGCTTTCAGCTAAAGCGGATAAGCTTAGGAGATTTTCCACACCCACTCCACAACTGGCCTCAATAAAAGCTTTAAAAGAGCTTTTTTAGTTATTCTTCTTTTACTTTTATTTCACCACAGATCTGACGTGTGTCGTACAGTTTCACCTTGGTTCCTGATCATTTTTAAGTGCATGGGAGCTGCAAACACTCAGCTGTCTTTCATGGGATATGGATAAAAATAGCCCAGTCCAAGCCCACCCATTCACCCCTCCCTAAGCTGCACATCCTTCTGTTTTCTCCCGCCCCCCTCTTCCCAAACTGCCAGATGATTAGCAGCACTTTGCTCTGCTGACATATTCATCATCTCGTCATGTCTCACTGCACTCCGCAGCGCGTGCATCCTTTGGGCCTTTAGGCGATTCTTTGAACAGCGTGCAGTTTTTTTTTTTTTATTATTCTTCCTGCTGATTGTGGTCGGTCAGCCAGGCCGTGATGTGAGGAGGAAGTTTTGCTGACCGCTGCCTATGGAGCAGAATGCACTATTTTGCCCTAATGGGTAATTTAACATAATCCAAATCCAATAATCCTCTAACAAATAACCTTACCTCTGATTTATGCCTTGATACTACTCCTGTGCTCCAGTTCTGTTTTGGCCACACTGAGTGCAGAGAACACCTCGGGGTTACCTGATGTTCAAGACTTTTGCATGAAGAAAGCCTTGAATCACTTATTACCTTTGTGGTAGCTGAGGCTGATCCCTAACCCACATACTGACCAATAACAGATTTTGCCAAGACTTTCTTTTAAATTGTGGCATTAAATAACTGGAGTCAACTGTGTCGGTTAGCAAAACATTGCATGAACCAATGGACAGATTTTATTGAAACATCCAGGAAAAAATTATTTGATGTACCTCTACAATTGATTACATTTTGGAGTCAATCCGATTGAAAGTGGCTGTAACTCAATGACATTAACAAACACAAAACAGCCAAAACTGACAGATATTGGGCCAATATTTGAATTGGTAACCTGTGTCCAAATTCAGGATTTGCAACCTCCAAAGGACCTGGCCTACCCAGCCAACGTAGGTCCTTTGTCAACCGTGAAGACGAGAAGTTAGTGGCTGTGAATTTGGAAGGTCTAGCCTTCAGCTTTATTCCGCCCTTACCCCAGCATTAGAATTGAAAATCAAAATTAAGAAAATATTAAAACATTAATATTATAACTTAACAAAATTAACTTAGTAGCGATGCATGAAGAACTGAGGGACCAACTATACAAGCTCGTTTACGATGATTTCTGAAAATATAAAACAAAAACATGCAAATGAAGAAAGCCAAATGACACAACTGCTTTAAACTTAAAATTTTTGTATCGCCAGATTTTTATTTAAAACTCCATTTCTAGCTTTGTCTACAAGCCAAAAAATTCTCCCAGTTGGCCCGCGATGCATCTTGGAATAGGGTGGTCTGAGACGGATACACAGACCCGTCCCTCAAATATGGGGGAAAGGAGTATGCATTTGTGGGTTGCAATTGGAGGAGCCTTTGTATTTGGACAGGCTTCAGCACATTGTTGTGATTTAATCTGCCTTCAAATTCAGTTTTTGCAAAGGACACAGCCCTTGAATTGGATGCAGCCGTAATATCTGAGAGTTGTCCTCAATGCCTTTTTAACATCTAACAAATCTTGTGAAATTTGATGGCATTGCATGAGATATTGCCCCAGCGTCTCTCTGTGTTCACGTTTAAAAGCCCAGAGCATCTCATGGTTTGGATAACCATCTTGAGCCACAAGGTCTGGCTCCAACCTCCCATCATTTAATGACCTGCCTCCGCTCCTCTTCCTCACTCGCTTCCCCTCCATCTTTAACTTGCTCGGGGATTACGCTGTTTTACTGATACTTGATACTTCAAAAGAGCTTTACGCTGACTTGCTTTAACTTCAAACTCCATCAAGGCTTCCAAATAAAGCGCCTCCTAAAAGTTACTCTGCCAGTGGAGAAGCTGTTTTACGCGTGACACAATGAAAACAGGTGCGCTCAACAGAACATTTGAACACTCTGCTTGCTTTGCGTGTGAATGGATTACAGACAAAAGGGCTTAAAGTCTTATCTATTAGACATGATCACAGATGTCAGGCATTACCACAGGGTGGATCACCAGAACTGCACAAGTCAAGAAGGTTTTGGAGAAAGGCTTGTGAAGCAAACAAGGCAGCTGAACAAAGTCTTATTGAGATATATATATAAACTTACTGTGGTATATAC